ATTATATATCTGAATCTTTGTAATTATAATAATTACCAAAATTAATTATCACAATAAATTATGAAAATAAATCATTTTTCTTCATTAGAAAATGATGTATCATCTTTTGACGATGACTCTTCACGGATGCCATGCCTAGCATGGGGAGAAGTAGCTTTTTAATTTGTTTTTTATCGATAGATTGTATTTGAAGTAAGTTAAATCTCATGAGTGTTCTATCTAACAATCAACATTATTATTCAAGTGAATATTTAATTTTGAATACATAACAAAAATGAAATAATATTTTTGAAATATCATTAACAATCAAAATAGATCAAGACAAGTTAGGTCTTGTCTAAGCCTAGATTAACCTACTTTATATTAATTCGTGCCCAAATTTAACTTATTAATTTGTTATACATTTTTTTTAATGATTGACTTGGCTTTTATAATAAGCTTGACTATATTGAGACTTAGAAAAGTCAATATAAGAATACAAACTAAAACTGAATTGATACTAATATAAATTTACAAGTTAACAAATTAATAGATCGATATAAATATTTCTTAACAGTTAACAAATTTTAGTTTAGCTCAATTGGTTTAGTAAATGTTTGAAAACCTCTTTAATGTCTAGTTCAATTTTAATTTTTTTTTATCGTGTATATCAGAAATGAATGAAATTACAAAAAGTATATTATACATATTTTATAAATGTTATAACTATCTCTAGTAAGAAAATATTAATTTGTAGTTAATAACTTAAAATAAAAATACAATATTATACACATATATTAATATTTTCATTAAAAATGCTTTTATTTATAAAAATCATCCATCTGTCAAGTTTAATAAGTTTTAAAAAAAATTATAATATAACCTATTTAATTTAATTATTTAAAAACACTTACATATGACATTTTTGTTGAATAAATCAAATAAAGTGGAAGAACTTTGTTGATGAATATATACACATGCATGACAGTCACTGACTGACAAATGGCTTGTTTCGTTTATGCATGCTACGAGAAATATATAAACTGATGGACACTTTGCTACAGATCAATTTGAGGAAAATAGGAAATTATATCCAAGAAAACAAGTTTTTTATTTTTTTATATCATAGTATTAATGAAAATTTGTATTGAATTTGTCGAAAATTAGTCTTTCTCAACAAAATTTTCTGCATTAAATTTATCCCTCCAAAGAAAAAGTTAAAGCAAATGTTTACGTAAGTTAATTATTGGATACTTAATCATAGCAGCGAGACAAAAGATAACGAGTAATATTTAATTTAATTATTGTTTTCATAGAAATTTCATTTGTTGTCGCGACATCATTTCTTAAACGATTGTAAACTATGGTGGAAAAAAATTGTAAACTTTAATCAATTAACTAGTTTGTATTTTATGATTTACATATGAAAAAATTGTAATAACTACAGCATTAAAAGATTGTAATTACTTTTCTATATATGTAAATTCGTGTAATTTTTAATTATAAATATACAACTTTAACTATTATTGCTAAATGTATATAAAAGCTATTAAGTTATAAATAAACATAATATTGACGGAAGCAGCAAAAAAAAACTTGTTTATTGCCGTTAATATATTTATCAGAATTATAATAGTTTCTGATAATTTATTCAGACAGTAAAAAAATGAACTTCAATAAACCATTCTTTTTATATAGTACAACAACAGTGACGTTATTGATGTATTTATAACATCTTATTTAAATATTTACTGAGATATTTTATCTCTAAATTTATATTTATGAGAAAAAACTTAGGTTTTGGAATTTTTGAAAATTAATCTTCGATTTTTGGTTGAAAAAAGTTTGGTTTCACATAAAAAAATGTAAGCTTCTTTATATTGAGAAATTCTACTCAACTCCACAATTCTCTCTCTATGTGTATATATCTATCTAGGGAGTATATTAGAGAACACTTTTTAGTGTGAGAAGTGAAATTTATAAATACATAATATTAATTTTTATTTAAATGGTTAAGTTTAATTGTAATTAGTATTTTAGTATAAGCAATATAGTGCATGATGAGTTTTTTTAAATAACTAAAATCTATAATAAATAAATATTTTGAATATATAAATTATATTATATTAAAATTTATAATAAATAAATATTATTGAAAATCTAATTGATTTTTTTTATATATAATAACTAATCTATATTGTGATGCAATGTTATTTTTATATTACGGACTTTTTTTTAATTGAAATTTAAAATAAAATTAAAATTAATAGCTAGATTAAAGTTACGAGAGATTTAAAAAAGTTACTAAAAATATATTCTTTAAAAAAACTAAAAAGGATCTTGTTATATATATACACACGTGCATATACTCACATAGTTGTCATCTTAAATTGTTTACAGTTATAAAAACAAATAACAAGTAAACACATCATTAATTAGTATATTAAATATTTAATACAAATCACTACTAAATTTTTTTTATTACATGCGATTTCTCCTGCGAATTTTTCATAAAAATTCGCAGGAAACGTTCTTCCTACAAATTTTTCTGCGAAATTTTATCTATAGGTAATACCTTTGTGGATAATATATTTCTACGAATTTTAAAATTCGCAGGAGATTTTCCTGCGAAATTTCTTGCAAAAAAAATTCGTAGGAAAGTTTTCTGTAAAAAAAAATTTGCAGGAAAGTTTCTTGCAAAAAAATTTCTCAGGAAAATTCGCAAGAAAGTTTCCTGCAATTTTTTTTGCAAGAAATTCTGCAGGAATACTTTTTACGAAAAAAATTAAAGAAATTATTATAAATTCTATTAATAGTTCTTCAACTTTCAAATGTTCACAATGAATTCATCCGAATCATTTGTTTCCATGCCTCCAACATGTGATACATGATCTTTTAAATTCTAAGATTATAGATTATAAGCTTAACACTCAACTATACAAATCAACTTGTAAGGTAAGTGTTGCCCCCAACTTATATACTCTTTAATTGTTTTATTTTCAATCGATGTGGGACTTGAAGTTTTTTTAAAATATTAAACTTATAAATTTAATAATTTTTTTTATTTTTCCCGCGGATTAAAATTTGCAGGAAAATCCGCAGGAAAAGTTACCTACAAAATTTTTCTACCATTTAGTAAACATTACTTGTAAATTTATTTTTGCAAGAAAATATACAAGAAACAAAATAAAATTCTTACAATTTTTTTCTGTAAATTTTTACCATGTGTTAGTACCAGAAAATGAATCCAGAGACACTTGAAATACAGGGATGCTTGAAATCCTAGATGGTCGAAAAATGACAAAGAAGTTTCTAAAGAAGGCATACGAAGCTTGAAGAGAATCAAGAGATACGCGAAGAAATTTTTCGTGAAACTCTCGAAATCCTCGAACCAGGAAGGATGCTCAAGAAAAGGGCTCACAGCCTCGCAACCTCTCAAAGTACAAGCAAAATCAAGAAACATTCAAGTATAGTTTTCGTTGGTTACTCGAAATCCCAAGAATCCGGACATACACGAATACACTTCGTAACCTCTCAGAATGGAGAACTTTAAGGAGAACGATTTGGGGAAGTTAAATGAGTGGTTCCAGAGGTTATCCAAAGACGTGCCTAGGAATAAGCCACTATGTGGAAGTTTAGGACAGTTATGCATTTCCGGGACACGTCAGAAATAGTTATCTTCCCCAGATCTTTGTCTAAAAATAAAACGAGCCATGCTCGTAGCAAAGGGTCAGAAATCTAATTCTCACAATACCTCACACGCACTCCGCAGCCTGCACATAAGGCATACTGTGCACACGAGACAGCTTTGGGTACGATTTCTTGACCACCTTTATTTTTCCTTTTTTAGGAGTAGCGTAGCATAGCATAATCTAGCCTAGTGTAGTGTAGTCATTCTGAACACGTTTCGTTATCCTTACGAATTGTAATTCTGTTACCATTTAATGAAGGATATGATTTCTGCAGTCAATATACATGTCATCTGTTCGATTCACATTAATTCTTACATGCATGAATTTGATTGTATAATTAGCATAGATCTTCTGATGTGCTGAAACAAGCATAGATCTTCTAAAGTACTAAAACCAGCATCGATCTTCTGACGTGCTCAAACAAAGAGCATAGATCTTTTGAGGTGCTGAAACAACAACCTAATTTAACTCTATTTGTTGCTTGTACGATTTTTTTTTCACTGAAAGTCTTCGATTCTGTCATGTCACGAACACACATAAATTGAAACGTGAAATTGTGCTAATTCGAATAAAAAGAACCTACTAACGAAATCCTCCACAAACACCATGGAAAAAATTTTCTATGATCATTAACATTGTAGCAAAATTTGTAAGAAATATCTGTAAATAATTTTTTGCAAATAAATTCGCAAAAAATTTCTGCGAATATTTTTTTGCAGGAAAATTTGCAAAAAAATTTTGCGAATATTTTTTTATTGAAAAATTTGCAAGAAAATGACACTTTTATAGTAGTGAATGGATTAAAACTTAAAAGTAGTTTTTGTAAAAGCTTCAAGTTGTGTTGTACAAGATTTTACGTCACATACATGCTTCAAATACGTCAAGATTACATACACATCGTTACTGCTTTTATCGGTGAATCATATCCGGTTACCCCATATTACAGATAATTTGTAAATTTTAGATTACATACACGCTTCAGTACGTGATGTGTATGGGTACATCAAATTCATCTCTTACTCTAGACAAATGGTCAACAGTCGTATATATACACACCACACAGTACGACGAGATAATTGATTTTTCTAATCAAACAAGAATATTGTTCAAAAAGATACGCATGCATGCTTCACTTAATTTAATGGTAAGTAACCTAAAAATACTCGTAAAAGACGGGCCATTTTTAATTAGGTGTCCAAAGACAAAAACTAGCCGGCTACGTTACCATAAGTACTTTTTAATTTGTTGGGGTTAAGTGATCAATCTTTGCCAATAAAAACGTGGCTTCTAATCCTCTATATATACTATATTCTTCACGGACATATCCACCAAAAAAACAGAGAGAGAAAGCCAAGTGGAGAAAAAGTAGTTGCAAACCGCTAAACTGCCTCATGTTAGAGTCCAGTCAAATAAATTAAGCCCAATTCCTTAGCCTCGTAAGTCATAACCATAAAACCTAATCATCTTATAAGCGCACCAAGGGTACGTGAAACATTAGAAACTCAAAAAAACACAAGCCAAAGAAAAATAGACCAAAACATCAAAAGATACTAAATATTATGGAGTCTGTGGTGTCTGAGTTAGAAGGCACGCTTGTGAAGGACTCGGATGCGTTCTCCTACTTCATGTTGGTGGCGTTTGAGGCTTCGGGTTTGGTTCGCTTTGCCTTGTTGCTATTACTATGGCCCGTGATTCGGTTTCTGGACATGGTTGGCCTGAGTGACGCGGGGCTCAAGCTAATGATCTTCGTGGCTGTGGCTGGGGTTCCCAAGTCGGAGATTGAGTCAGTGGCTAGGGCAGTTTTGCCAAAGTTCTACATGGACGATCTTGACATGGACGCGTGGAGGGTTTTCAGCTCCTACCCCAAGAGGGTTGTGCGCACCAAGACGCCCAAAATTATGGTGGAGAGGTTCGTGAAGGAGCATCTACGTGCAGACGAGGTTGTTGGGACTGAACTCTCCTTCAATAGGTTTGGCTTAGCCACGGGTTTCGTCCATGGTGACTCGAGCAATACCATTTCCCAAAGAGTTGCCAACCTTTTCGACAATGGTGCACCTACTTTGGTTATGGTAAGGCCTTGCTTGTAGTCTTGTACTATACGTCAAACTACTATTCCTTTTCCTTCTCTCAGCTTTTTGCAAGGTGTGTAATTAATGGACCCACGTTAAGAAAATATTCTCAAACACAAAAGAAGAATGTGGAACTAAAAGTTGATTTACTTTGGTTTAGCCTCCTTAGTAAAAAATATTAATTGTTATGGTACATGTTATGATTTTATGAAAACTAATCATATTATATTCCTTCATACATGCAGGATCAACTACATCCACCAATATTGATAAACCAAAACTACGACCACCAGATGCTCCGGCCAATTCCGGTGATCTTCCACGACGGGCGGCTGGTGAAGCGGCCGACGGCGTCCACCTCCCTCCTAATCCTCCTATGGATTCCGGTAGGCATTTTACTAGCCATAATCCGCATCAGCATGGGTTCCATTCTACCCTTTTGGGCCATTCCTCACATGTCAAAACTCTTCGGCGGAAAGGTCATCGTAAAGGGAAAACCCCCCCTCCCCCCCTCCGCCGGGAACTCCGGCGTCCTCTTCGTCTGCACCCACCGCACGCTGATGGACCCCGTCGTCCTCTCCGCCGTCCTCCGGCGCCAAATCCCAGCCGTCACGTACTCCATCTCGCGGCTCTCGGAGATCCTCTCCCCCATCCCAACGGTGAGACTCACAAGGTCACGCCACGTGGACGCGGAGAAAATCAAACGCGAGTTATCGAAAGGCGACTTGGTGGTGTGTCCCGAAGGAACAACGTGTCGTGAGCCTTTCCTTTTGAGGTTCAGCGCTCTTTTTGCTGAACTAACTGACCGGATCGTGCCGGTGGCCATGAACTACAGGGTAGGGTTCTTCCATGCAACCACCGCGAGGGGGTGGAAGGGTTTGGACCCCATTTTCTTCTTCATGAACCCTAGGCCCGTTTACGAGGTTACCTTCTTGAACCAGTTGCCGGTTGAAGCCACGTGTTCTTCCGGGAAGAGTCCCCATGACGTGGCCAATTATGTTCAGAGGATTTTGGCGGCGACGCTAGGGTTTGAGTGCACCAACTTCACGAGGAAGGATAAGTATAGGGTGTTGGCTGGGAACGATGGCACTGTCACTGTCACTGTGTCTCCTACTTATTCCTTGCTTGATCACATGGTGAAGGTCATCAGAACCTTCATAAAGTGAAAATAATTATGGTGCTCGATCGTGCTTGTTAAAAGATTGTAACATATTATTGATTAATTGTTTTATTTTGTTGATTTGTAAGATATATATGGATATGCCAGCTTCTGTATTGAACCTCATAAATTTGTGTATTTTGTCATTACTTTTTGGGTTTTACCTGTAGATTAATTGACTGTTTGTAATTTTTGTTGTTTTTTTAAGATTGAGATCACGGTTTCTCACAAACATTTTATAACTCATAGTATTCCCTGGTTCCTGATTTAGAAACAAGGGCTGGGTTACTATTGGGTACACCTTTTACCTATGTTTAATGTATTTTCTTCTCGTAAAGAAATATGTTAGTAGAGATTTAGAGAAAGAAAAGGAAAAAAATAACGAAGAAATTTGTTGTATTTTTATCTCTCAAATACATGTTTATATTTTAATGCAAAAACATTAGTCCATCTTAACTTTTAATAAATAAATATAAAATTCACTTACATAATTAAATTTAAGATTAACAAATACACTCATGTTAAATATGATTAATCAGATTTGTCGATAGAAATATATCTACAAAATTAGTAGATAATTCATACTAATAATATGATATTTAAAAAATATATAACTTTTCTCATATAAAATAAGTTAAATAACTTAATGACTTAATTTGATAATTTTATACATGGAGTTTTGGACTTCAACCTTACCTTTAACCTTTTAATATTTTTCTAAATTTGTGAAAGTATATAAGCTCATGTTTAAAATGTATGAGGAATTTTCTTAGGGGTATATAATTTATAAAAAAAAAGTACAATTAAGGTTTCATAATTTAAGTGATTAATAGAATAATTATATAACTTCAGAGACTAAATTAGTTAATAATTTATAATTTTATGGACTTTTTTTTTATCATGTTAGTTGTATCCGAAACCAATTTGACTAATATCTTCCACATGATAATGTGTTGTCTTCGTTAATTATTAGTCGTGATTTCCCTGCAAAAATATATTTTTTTTAATAAGGAGGCATAATTATTTTTTATTAAATCGGTCGTATAAGAATAATATAGTATTTTTAAGTCACAACTTCCGTACTAAACTTGAAAATTAAATTCTAATTCTTGATAAACTATATTTGGCAGTGTTAATTCTCTTTAACATAACGAAAAAAAACGAATGAATCATTAGATAATAATGAGGAATATCAGTTGAATGTTTGAAGAATGTTGAGACGTATAAATTATGGATTAGCAGTATGAATTAAAAGGAAACAAAAATATTTGTATAATTAATGAGTGAAATGGGATTACAAGATATATACAATTTTTATTCGTTTTTAATTCATACTATTAATTTCTATATATAAGAAATCTAATATAAAGTTTATAAAACTACAAGAATTAATAGGAAACAAAAATAGTATGTATAAAAACAATAAAAATAAAATATTTTTAATTATAAAAACTAAAAAGTACATGTACTAAATGGGTTATTAAAATCTTATTTAATATAAAATTGTCACCTATAACAATAGCTCTCAATTATAATTTGACTTTTTAAAATTAATTTATTAAGTAAAGCAAATAATTTTAATCATATTATATTTATGAATATTTTGTTCTTATAGGCATCATGACTGTAGGTAAAAGTCAAACTAATAATTATTTTTTAAGTAAATACTACTAAGACTATGGATAAAAAAAATAGTTGTTTTGGTTTAATTATTGTTTTTAGTTCGAATTCCGTAACCAAATAGACTTACATAACAAATTATAAATATATGTGTTTATCAACAATTATTTTTTTCATTATGAATTACTTATTTTATTTTTTCTTTATTTAAAAGAGCTAAATTGAGCAGTGAACATCTCAAGAACTAGATATATATTGAATATAAAATTTACGGAACTAAACATATATATATATGTTAGTAGTCCGATAATATGACAAGGCTAACAACATCATAGTTCTTCGCAAGGTTGTACCCCATTGATGACCTTAGTCTAACTAGTATGAAACTTGAGTTTTTACTGATACAATAGCTTGAAAGCAACACATAGAACAGAACCAAACTAAAAACTTCAGGCCCTCACTGATCATCAAGATTAGCACAGGACTATGTAGTGCATGCTAGATCTAAAACCCCTATAATTGCCTCACCCTAAATAGTTCCGACGCTTAGCTTGTGATTTGCTCTACAAAACCAAGAATTATATGTGTTAGTAGTAGCTTGGACAATCACAATCCTCTAGGATAGTGAAAATGAAATGACATGTTTATTGCTCCAAATCTCCAATCCAGGTCCACAATTTTAATTTAATTCTCTCCGTCCCTTCTTTTCCTTTTTAGTGAAGAGTAGTCTTTCAAAATTGACTTCTTTAGTATATATCACATGTCCTTTTTCCTGTTGCGCCACTGAATAGACTTCAATGTTGAAAATGCGTCCTCTGATTTTTGGACGAATTTTATGGGCTCTATCCTTATGAGAAATAACTCAACGATATAGGTAAAAAGTTTCAACTCGAGGAATAACTCATGAATTACTCTCCTCAAATCAAATGAGATAATAATTGTTGAAGCAGAAAACAATATTTTCCTTCAATTCCTTATACGGCTTGTACAAGTAGCATTTACTCTTAATTAATTCTGAAATAAGTGCTTGTTGGATTTAACTATAGCAGTGTACTTTTCCCGACAAGGACAAGAAAAGAAATTGTATACAATTTTTTTCTAGAAGAAAAGGATATGAAATTGTAAGTTTTAAGACTTTTGATCACATCCTTACAAAAATTGGATTGGAAATTGCAACTTCAGCGATCGTGCCTATGTGGCTTACATTACAGCATCTAGAAAGAAAACACGAATAAGTTGCATGAAACATACAAGGCTCGTAAATTGTACACATTGTGACTCAAACAAGAACAACACTTTCCTACCAAGATTCCTCAACAGTTGCCATGGATTGTTTTGGAAGCAAAGAAATACCCACAGAGCTATATATCAACATTCAACACGCGCAACACCTACAATGTAGAAATTAACACATTACAATATCATTATCTGTTCACTATAATAATTTCAACTAAAATGTGCCGAAGAATAGAGCAATAATAAACATTGAATTCCTCAACAACTGGTAGCTACCTCTGCCAATACGAGTGCCACCCACGACAAAATCTAGCATTCACCATGTATAAATAAACAAAAATAATAAATGTTTACGAACCGCTTAAGGTTGCTTTGAACATATTAGTTGTCTAATTAAGAAATGACATCAATGAGAACTTTAAAATTGCATAAATATCTACGAACTTGTATGTTCAAACACAACTGATTTATTAAATTTTAATCTCTTATAATATAAATTCTTATATAAAAAAATAAATTCGAAATAATAATTAAACTATTTATTTAAATAGACCCTAATTATAGTAGATAATCGGGTATTGAAAAAAAGATTAGCCAATTACTTATTGTAGAGTGAGCTTAGCCGATTCATTAATTTCTTAAATTTTGAGTGTACCGCCGGGCTATTCTGAGTGGAGGAGTCCTACTTTTCTCTTATTGGGCCATTTGTGGCCTGTTCCTTATTGGGCTCTTTGCTTAAAGTTCTCAAAGGACTTGCCGACAATGAATTGCAATTTTAGATACATTTATTTTCCATCTCATCAAAATTTGATATAAAAACGGTTAAATTGCGATTGTTTGTTAAAATCTTCTCTGCCTACAGGTTCACTGCGCTGGAAAATTTAAAACATTTTCAGTGAAATGTCTAGAATATCGTTAGTTATATTTTTAATTTAAATTTATAAAAATATAAAGGTTAAATAATTTTTAAAATTAGCTATCTTGATAGGAGTGAAGTAGTATATACAAAATCTTAAGTTTGAACTTCATGTTGTGATTATGATTTCTATGATTAAAAAAAAAAGAGTTATCTCACCTTTAAAACCACTATTCTTAATTATAGACCATATAAATAAAAATTATTGAATTGATAAATATACACATAATATTAAATTCAAACATACTATTATTTTAATTTACATGATAAAAAAATTCTTTATTAAGAGTAAAATTTTGCATTGATGATTTTTTTGCTTAAAAAAAAAAAGGTTAGTCTTTTACATATATGAGAAAAAATTTGGTGCAAAGTTAAAAAAATAAAGTCATTTGAAAAGAAAAGGTGGATTTTGATCAAAATACAATATCATTTTAAAATAACCAAGCATTATAATTATATATTACCACGATTGTTTATGTCAAAGAAAATATATAATTAAAATTATTAAATAGTGTAATATGTTCAATCTCTAACATGTACGTACACACGTATGAAACTGTATAGCGTTATTTATTTATTTATTTTTATATATTATAAGACTGTATAGATTATGAAATATTAACATATATATTATATTATTTTATGAAAATATTTCATGATATTTTTATCAGTACGTTAATGCTATTAAAATAAGCATTTGTTAAAGAAAATCCCAACCAGTATCTGTTTCCTATGAGTTTTAGTGCTGAAAATAACATTTCTATTTTTCAAATTTGAATCAGCAAAACTGCAAAGTGAAGCAGTTTTGACTGTTAAAGAATGAAAAACAAAAGTAACGAAGCACCATTTATTTCAACATTTTCAAGGGCTGTGATCCAGCATCAGAATCACCCGTTTCTCTATTTTCAGACATAAAAAAACCCTACGAAAAAAGAAAAAAGCATAGTGGCAGCCTGTGATCTCGCAGCAACGTTACTCACAAAACGCTCTCAACGACGTGTCGCCCAACCAACATCGTTGGTGACGCGCCACTAAAACTAACGTCGTTTCTCCCTTTATCACCATGAAACACCAACGTTAACCCACGCCATAACATAATTTCTCTTCCTCCACCCCCACCCCCACCCTCTCTCATTCAAACCATGCATGCACAACTTCAACCCTTCCACTCTTCCTCTCTCTAACTCATACGTACATACCCCTCCCGCCACCTATATACCATACCATACCATACCACATACACGTACACGTATACGTAAATTCGTATCTTCACAGAGTATGTCTTCCCATTGGTGTTACCGCTGCAACAAATTCATCAGAGCATGGAGACAAGAAATGCCGGTATGTCCCGATTGCGACAGCGGATTCGTCGAAGAGGTAATCGAACCATCCAACCCCGCGGTCGAGACCCGCCGCCGTAGGTTCCCGACTGCGGCGGGGGTGGACATGATCGGGCCGCTAAGTATGTTTTTTTTTATAAATTAAATAAATACGATTTTCAGTTTAGTCTCTAAATCAATCACTAAATATTTATTTTTTCTTTTATTAAATTTATAGGCGTTGCAAATTTGATTGTTATTCACGTCACTAAATTATTAGTGACACATTTTTTAGTCACGATGAGTTATATTTTGTCGCATATTCAACCGTTATAAGTTTTATTCCGTCCCAAATTTGATTGCTAAATTTGTTTTATTTTTAGAGATAGAAGAGTCGATCGCTAAATTCAGTCACTAAGTTTGTTTTATTTTTAGAGAAGAAGAATCGATCGCTAAATTTATTTTAATTTTCTCTAAACTTATTTAATAGTCATAAACAATAGTACTAAAATTGACAATGCATATATAGTACTAATATCACAATAAAATTAATTAACATATATAATCTTCAAAATCACAACTAATGAAAAGAATCCAAAATAAAAATGACATAACTAATAACTAATAGTAAAATTCAAATAAAGTATTCTAAACCACAACTAATATAAAATATCCAAAATAAAAGTATATGACATATTACTAATAGTAAAAACCAAAACAATTCTTCAAAACCACAACTTACTAAAAGCATCTAAAATGAAGTATATAACATATAACTAATAGTAAAAACTAAAACAAGTATATGATATCATAAAAGACAAATACACATTCAATCAACAATCTTTCGGTGTATCATCAACATGATCATCCTGCTCGTCTTCAACATGGTGTCTGGGATCATCTAGAGTGGTAGTCAGTATATTGGGCCCTGGCATAAGAGAGTTAATCTAAAAGTGTCGTAAGATTAACTGCATCTTCTCATCTTGCTAATGCATACGCTCACTTTGTTATCTCATGTGCTAAATCTATAACTCATGATTTTTTGAAGCACCATTTATTTCAACATTTTCAAGGGCTGTGATCCAGCATCAGAATCACCCGTTTCTCTATTTTCAGACATAAAAAAACCCTACGAAAAAAGAAAAAAGCATAGTGGCAGCCTGTGATCTCGCAGCAACGTTACTCACAAAACGCTCTCAACGACGTGTCGCCCAACCAACATCGTTGGTGACGCGCCACTAAAACTAACGTCGTTTCTCCCTTTATCACCATGAAACACCAACGTTAACCCACGCCATAACATAATTTCTCTTCCTCCACCCCCACCCCCACCCTCTCTCATTCAAACCATGCATGCACAACTTCAACCCTTCCACTCTTCCTCTCTCTAACTCATACGTACATACCCCTCCCGCCACCTATATACCATACCATACCATACCACATACACGTACACGTATACGTAAATTCGTATCTTCACAGAGTATGTCTTCCCATTGGTGTTACCGCTGCAACAAATTCATCAGAGCATGGAGACAAGAAATGCCGGTATGTCCCGATTGCGACAGCGGATTCGTCGAAGAGGTAATCGAACCATCCAACCCCGCGGTCGAGACCCGCCGCCGTAGGTTCCCGACTGCGGCGGCGATGTACATGATCGGCCACCGCGGCTCCGATCACAACCCTCGCTCCTCCCGCCGCCAGCATTGCAGGACAACCGCCTCGGACCGCTCACCGTTGAATCCGGTCATCATGCTCCGCGGCGAGGGGACGAGCCGCGACCGCCGCACCGGCTTCGACCTTTTCTACGACGACGGCGCCGGCGCCGGAATCCGCCCCCTGCCTCCGAGGATGTCGGAGTTTCTCCTGGGAACAGGCTTCGAGCGCGTGATGGAGCAGCTTTCCCACGTGGAGTCCAGCAACGGCGGCGGGGGGCCCC